GTCGTCGCATTCAGTTGGGCGCGTCCCGACGATAGGCGAGAAAATGTGCGTACGCGCGTTGTACGTGTCGCGAAAACGGCGAGAGTCCGCGGCGCGTTTAAAGCCGCGTCGAGAAACGACAGCGAAGGGCGGAGAACGTCGTCGGCGTGACGTAACGGGCCCGCATAAAGGCAATAGAAATAAATGACGTTAAATTGCTGGGTGACTCGTTTTTAGCCCGTTCCATCGGCGGCATCGAAGAATCCTGGCCGAATAATTCTGAGTCGCGAGACGACGCCAAGGCGACGCGATCCGCGCAATTACACGAGGTCTGTTCTTCATAGCAGCGCATTAAGGAAAAATGAACCAATGCCCGGGCATGTACCCTAATCCTAGACTTTCTTGCTTGTTTCAGTCTTTAAATACGAATATTTGAATGCTTAACATAAAATACATATACATCTGTTGAAAATTTAAATTTTGTTCGTATTTAAGGAACAAAACAATAAAAAAACCCAAAATTAGATACGTATCCAGGAATTGATACTTTTACCGTTTAATTAAAATTTTCCTTGACTAAAACAATCGGCAAATCAATCGTGAAAATTAATAATTCGTCATATGTAATTATGAATAATTCAATTGATTGATGACATTAATTATTAATCAGTGTATAATCAATCACATGAAAAAGTTTGATTAACAATTAATTCCTTATCAAATCACAGAATTGTGACTTCATATACATGACGATTGATCAATTTTGCTGATTGATTTGTCAATTATTTTAGTCCAAGAACATTTTAATGCCCAACACTGCTTTACAGCTGCGCTAAGTTGCACCGTCTGTGCTTGAGGTGAAGCAGGTACCTGTTTGGTATCTTGTGGTGGAAGAGAGAAGAAAATAGAAAGAGTGCGAGATTCAGGAAGTGTGTAGCTATGAAGAACAGACTTACAGACTCGAGTAGCCAGCCGTGTTAGAGAGTTATTAGAGACGTGCGCAAATCGCGTAGGCCGGATTTATTTTTAATTTACTTTACATACAACATACATTTGGCGCACGCGAATCTGTCTCGTAGTGTAGTGAGTTCGCGAAGCCTCCTGATGATGATGTACTCGCAGAGAAATCTATGAAAACGGGAGACCCTGCTTGCGAGCGCGCGCGCTTCGCGATCTATTGTCGAAGACATTGTTCGACGTTAGGGACGAGCAGATGCGGATGTAGGTAGTCCGTAGGCATATAGGCAGCTGCTCTACAACGGACGGTCCGTGGGGTGCAACAATGGACGAGCACGGCTCGTCAAATCGATCAGGGTTGCGACCGAGACCATAGGTATAGTTCGCGGTGAGATTCTCAACGCCGATGGACCGATACTCCCTGTTCCGAACGCAGACACATTTCCCCTAAAAACAATATGAGCTTTCTCAAGAATTGAAAACTATCTCATGAATAATAAAACGGTGCTCTTCATTGCGCAAAATCGGATTCTTAGATTGCTCCTCGTACATTTAAGATATTTCTCTCTCTCTCTCTCTCTCTCTCTCTCTCTCTCTCTCTCTCTCTCTCTCTCTCTCTC